GGTCAGACTAACAGCCCAAAAGTGGAGATAATTGTATAGATAATAACAAAGGTTACAATTCACATCCTGAACTTATTTCATTCTCCACTGGGTAGGAAATCCTAGCTTTAAACGGCAAGCTCTAAGTTCAGACCAGCGGAAAATTCTGTGTTTTCAAAGTCAGCGAGTTTGACAAACGTTCTGTATGAATCAGTGCACCGCATCCAAATGTTAGCGTCTGACCTCCCTAATGGTGTCTTGCCACGTAAGAAGGATCTTCCTTGCCAAATTTATAATACGAATAGAATCGAATGTGAATCAAATTTGAGTCAAATTTGACTTCCAACTACGCCCGACCACCGCTGATTTGGTGCACGGAGGTAATCAAAGTGAACATCGTCTTCTGTGAGGACTGTTCTGCTACCGACAATAGAGCAGAACAGATAATACATTATCTGGATTATCAGGGGGACCAAATCCACCTTTGACCCACAACGATTTCACCTCTGACCTCAGGCTACAGCGGAAGGACAAACGAAAGGTTTACTCGAAGAGAAAATCATCGTAGTTATCAGGTAAGGCTTAGAAACGGGCAGCAACAAAGTATTCTTATAACGAAAGAAATAGTTGGAGGTTCTTTCTGTGGAAAGCTGCCTGTGGAAAAAGGATCGGAGTAAGGTTATAATTTATAGGAGTTTTTCTCGGATAATGAACATCGTAGAAATGAAGGGGGAGGGGGGCCAAACCAACCAAACATGTACGTGCGACCCCGGCTTGGCCCCGAACTATTTTTGTCCCATTTCGATCCAGTTTACCGTCTCTGGGGCTACCATTATGACAGGCTAGCTTTCTGCTTTGAGGTGACGAGAAAAAGTTACATCAGCGAATTTTACAAGTAAAAAAAAATGCTGTTTCAGTTTGTGGCGTCCCTCCTTAGCTAGCCTCTAAATTCGACACCCTTGTCATACGCAGGTTTGTACTTTTAGCATCCTGGTTTCCTATCATTATTTCAAGCGATAAAAATAAGTGTATTTTCATGAAAAAAAAAGTTTACACTGCAATTTCCAACACAAGAAATTGGACTTGCCCAAATTTGTGACTGTACAACTCCAATGTTTAATCTATGTACGTCTAGTGTTGGAAATTGCAGTTAAAACATGTTTCATAATGACTTTTACTGATACAGATGAATTTTTAAGATGATAAATGTGTTTTCTTTGAATCCTAATAGTCATATCATGACACCACTACGCTACAACATTCTTTTTTTTGGGGGGGGGGGAGGGAGGGAGGGAGTGTTTTTTTTTTCATTCTATATATGTATGTGGCCAGACATAGAAAAATCTAATGTTCTCAACGAGGGCATTAAATTTGTAGGAATACCTTTAGCCCTGATTTATTTTGGATTTCTGTTTCTTTCTAACCAGAGAACACAGATGAATAAAACTGGTGAGAAACACTTGGAGAGTGAGGAGAGCAGTTTTATGACAAATCCTGAGTCTTGCTTTACTGTGAACAGCTATACAGGAGAAAATCATGGGGAATATGCATCAGCACAGCACCTAGCAAAACAGTTTGTAGACAGGACAGCTCAAAAGTCTCAGTTATTGAAACACACGAGAACCCATGCAGGAGAGAAACCCTACAAATGTGACCAGTGTGACTATTCTGCAGCACGGAAATCCAATTTGGACTATCATCTAGTAAAACACACAGGTAAGAAACCCAACATATGTGGGGAGTGTGGGTACAGGACAGCCCAAAAGTCTGACTTATCCAAACATATGAGAACCCATACAGGAGAAAAACCCTACAAGTGTGACCAGTGTGACTATTCTGCAGCACGGAAATCCCACTTGGACTATCATCTAGTAAAACACACCGGTAAGACACCCTACATGTGTGGGGAGTGTGGATACAGGGCAGCTCAAAAGTCTTCCTTGTCCAAACATATGAGAACCCATACAGGAGAAAGACCCTACAAATGTGATCAGTGTGACTATTCTGCAGTACAGAAATCCAGTTTGGACATTCATCGAACAATACACACTGGTGAGAAACAGTACATATGTGGGGAGTGTGGATACAGATCAGCTCAAAAGTCTGACTTATCTAGACATATGAGAGTCCATACAGGAGAAAAACCCTACAAGTGTGATCAGTGTGACTATTCTGCAGCACGGAAATCTAATTTAGACCGACATCTAGCAATGCACGCTGGTGAGAAACCCTACATGTGTGGGGAGTGTGAATACAGGGCAGCTCACAAGTCTGACATATCTAGACATATGAGAGTCCATACAGGAGAAAAACCCTACAAGTGTGACCAGTGTGACTATTCTGCAGCACATAAAATCAGTTTGGACAAACATCTGGCAACACACACTGGTGAGAAGCCCTACATGTGTGGGGAGTGTGGGTATAGGGCAACTCATAAGTCTACCTTAGTCTATCATATGAGAGCACATACAAGAGAAAATCCACACAAATGTGACCAATGTAGCTATCCTGCAGACTCCAAGTCTGCCCTAAGTCGACATAAAAGAATTCACACAGAGGCACCGACTCTGGAACTGTGACATCTTGTACTGACATTTTCATCAAAAGTGCCATTTTAGTGCGCACAATCTTCTCTTAACTATAGTTTCTCTATTGATACCAAGCTTAGGTATGTACGTATTACATCGACATTTGTAGGCTAATTATTCTGTAAAATGGATAAAAGTTGCGAAATTCCCAACCGTTTTTCTGACCAAATGTCGACTCATAGTCATGTACTGCTAGTATTTTCTCCACTGTATTGCTAAGCACTGTAGAACTATGATTCAGTTACAAGTAACATGTAGCCAGAGTAATATACTTGGGGCAAGCATTGAATCTTTTCGGAAAGAAAAAAAAAGTTTGTCGCTATCTAGCTTTGTAGTGGAAGGACAGTAAACGTGGTGATGTTATTTGGATATTGTACCTGTACATAATTAGTGATTAACATCAGTAAATGACTGTACACAGTAGATGTTAGTACGGTTGTGTTTGTGTGAATGTACGAGTTTCGACTTCCTAGCTTGTGTGACAAAGTGCCTTCCTATATATACTCTACAAACAAAATTTTACTTTATTTTTTTTACTTACATTAACTCTTAAGACTACGGTTGTAATGATCAACAGAAGTGTAAAATGACTGATGTGCTTAAAATAGTTTCGAACAGTAGGAACTTATTTTTTTTTTTTTAATATAAACGGTAGGTTGTATACGTGTAAAATGTCCCGTTTGTTTTGCATTTCTTTTGAAGATGTATCTACATCTACAGATATTTTCTGCTAACATAATTTAATCCATATGTACTTAAAGCGTAATTTTTCCTTCTGTGTTCCTTGGATGGAATATTGTTAGAGGTGAGGTTGATCATAAAACACAGAAATCAAGATTCAGATCAAACAGTTTTGCGTCAATATTAATTCCTAAAAACATTTCTTGCTCATATTAGATATAGATCAGACACAAAAGTCAGACGCGTGTTACGTTGTTTAGGTGGTTGGCAGAACGTTGACATTGGAAGGAAAGCGTAATGTGCTATCTGGCCTTATATGTATTATATTCGTAATCAGGCAAACAATTCACATTTGACCCACATAGGGATCACCTCTGACCTCACGGTACGACGAAGCTGTCTGAGGTCCGGTTTCGTGAATTCGAAGAAGAGAAAAACCATAATAGGAGACAGGTAAGGCTTAGAAACGGGCAGCAAAGTATTCTGATAATGAGAGAAATAGTTGGAGGTCTTTTCTTCGGAAAAAGGATCAGAGTAAGGTAGTAATTTATAGGAATTTTTCTGCGTATGAACTTGGTAGAAATAAAGGGGGAGGGGGGCGAAACCAAACATACGCGCGACCCCGTTTGGCCCCTAAACTGTTTTTGTCCCGTTTCAAACCGGTTTACCTTCTCTGGTGCTGAGTATCATAATGGCAGGCTAACTTTCTGCTTTAGGATGATGAGAAAAAAAGGTGCATCGGTGAATTTTGCAAAGATTTTACAAGTAAAGAAAAATATGCTGTCTCACGTTGTGGCATTCCTCCCTACATGTACTTATAGCATCCTGGTTTCCTAACAGTGTTTTAAGTGATAACAAGTGTGTTTGGTTTGAATTCTAAGAGTCAAAGGATGACAGCACTACGCTAACACTACACTAGTATGTTTTTTTTTTTGGGGGGGGTGTTTTTCATTCCATTCAGAATTTTTTTGACACAACAAAAGTACAGCGACTTTCTACATGTAGACATACAGACAAATACTTTTAGTACATCAGTACAACGAAATTAACCTACGTACAAAACAATAGATGAGTCAACCAACACTACTTCTTTGTTATATTTACCTATTTGTACACAGTAAGGGAAAAATATGGAACGCTTCACGAATTTGCGTGTCATCTGTATATGCCTGCGGCGAGACAACAAAGAATCTAATATTGTTACAGACAGGGGTCCAATTTTTTAAGAATCCTTAAGCCCCGATTTATTCTAGATTTCTGTTTCTTTCCAAACAGAGAAGAGAGATGGACGAAACTGGAGATAAAACCTTGGAGAGTGAGGAGAGCAGTTTTAGGACAACTCCTGAGTCTTGCTTTACTATGAACAGCCATACAGGAGAAAAACCTGGAGGAAATGCTTCATCGCAACATCTAGCAAATCACAACGGTGAGAAACCCTACATGTGTGGGAAGTGTGGATACAGGACATCTGACAGGCCTAACTTAATCCGACATTTGAGAGCCCACACAGGAGAAAAACCCTACAAGTGTGGGGAGTGTGGCTACAGGACAGCTCAAAAGTCTGACTTATCTCGACATATGAGAACCCATACAGGAGAAAAACCTTATATGTGTGAGGAGTGTGGATACAGAACAGCTAAAAAGTCCACCTTATTTCTGCATATGAGAACACATACAAGAGAAAAACCCTACAAGTGTGACCAGTGTGACTATTCCGCAGCACAGAAATTTGCTTTGGACCAACATCTAGCAAAACACGCTGGTGACAAACCCTACATGTGTGAGGAGTGTGGGTACAGGACAACTCAAAAGTCTGACTTATCCAAACATATGAGAGTCCATACAGGAGAAAAACCCTACACATGTGACCAGTGTGACTATTCTGCAGCACAGAAACCTCATTTAGACTATCATCTCACAAAGCACACCGGTGAGAAACCCTACATGTGTGGGGAGTGTGGATACAGGGCAGCTAAAAAGTCTCTCTTATCCCGACATATGCGAGCCCATACAGGAGAAAAACCCTACAAGTGTGACCGGTGTAGCTATTCTACCGCCTCTAAGTCAGCCCTTACTAAACTTAAGAAAATTTACACAGAGGCACCAACTCTGGAACTGTTCATCTCATATTGATATTTGGCACGGACAATCTTAACTATAGCTTCTCTACCTCGATACCAATGATATATCACCTTGATACATAAGGTATTTTAGGATGTATCATTTTGCAAAATAATTTGCAAAAAGGCATATTAGTAATTGTTTTCCTAAAGGAATGTCATGTTAATGTATTTTCGTCCACTGCATTTTATTTCTCTGTATAGCATTTTTTTAGTTTGAAGAATAAAACGGCCAACCTAGTACATGTATTCTTTGTTCTGGCATCAACTATTTTGAACAATAATCCATAACCCTTTTTATAGCTAACTAGAATTGTAGGGAAAAGCAGTTAACTAGTTTGGAAAATGTACATGTACATAATCAGTTAGTAACATCAGTAAGTGAATGTACACATTATTTGAAATGTAGACTTTTATGTTGAGTTTGTATGAATGGAGCTTCGATTTTTTTTTTTAATTTGTTAATAATTTAAATTTGACGAAGTGTTTGCTTATATGTATGACAAACAAATATCTTTTGACAAATATCAAGCATTTCGTTCGCAGTAAAATCTTTTCGTTGATTTTCATCAGTGTAAAATGACTGACGTGCTTCAGTTTCCAACAGAAGGAAGTAATTTTACAGTAAAAAACGTAGACGTTATGTTGTGTACGAGTAATAGTTTTCTGTTTGTTTTGTAGTGTTTTTTTTATAAAAAATGTATCACCAACACAAATAAATCTTTATGTACCTTGATCATAATGTTTTCCTTTGTGTGTTTTTTTCTTTCTTTGGATGAGTATTGTCAGGGGTGGTGAATATCACATAGAAATCAAGATTCAGGCCAAACAGTTTGGTCTGCCATTTATTCCTTTAGCATAACTCTTTTTATTAGATCAGTAACAAAAGTCAGACGCGTGTTACGTTGTTAAGATGGTCGGTTTTAAATGCAGGACGTTGACATTATGAGGAAAGTGTTATCTTGCGTCAAATGTATTACATGGGTAATCAGGTAGACAATTTCACCCTTGACCCGCATAGAGTTCAGCTCTGACCTCACGAGACGACAGAAGGACAAAGCTGCCCGAGTACCGGTTTACATATGAAAACTGTCATAGGAAGCAGGTAAGGCTTAGAAACGGACAGAAAGTTATTTTGATGCTGAGGGTAATAGCTTGAGACCATTTCTGTGGAATAAGGACCGCAATAGGACGGTACGTTGTAGGCATTTTCGGGTTGTGAATGGTAGGGTGAAAAATATTAAGGGGGAGGGGGGCGAAACCAAACATACATAGGGGATGTCATAGTAACGGAAATAATATACAAGAACTGATTTGTGAAAACAGTGAATAAAGAAGCCTTGTGACCACACCTATACTGCCGACTCTCTTTCCAACCAAGCAAATGGAGTAATTAGTTGTCCCCATAGGATAATATATTAAGTGGTTTTGAGTGAGCTCGGTGGCATGAGTGAGTGAGTGAGTGTAAGATCTCACGATTTATGATTTAGTAACAACATAGAAGCAAATTTATTCAAATGCAAGAAAGACAACACGTTAGAACTTTGGTGAGTTACGTTGTTAATCATTAGTCTGTAAAGCTTGTTTTATTCGGAACTGTTAAAAATTTGTTTCAATACTTTGATACAATTTTTTTTATTAGCCTGAACATGGCCACGACAGGACACGGGTCTCCCACCGGAGTTGGTCAGAACTGCTGTGATGAGTCTCCCACCGGGGTTTCCCAGGTTGACTGTGACAGCAAAACAGTCAATGATAAAGACCAGGCGGCAGCACAAGAAGTCAACTTGAATAACGCTGGTGAGAAATCCTGCATGTGTGGGGAGTGTGGATACAGGGCAGCTAGCAAGTCTCATTTAGACCGGCATATGAGAACCCATACAGGAGAAAAACCCTACAAGTGTGACCAGTGTAACTATTCTGCAGCAAAGAAATCCAGTTTAGACGCTCATCTAGCAAAACACACTGGTGAGAAACCCTACATGTGTGGGGAGTGTGGATACAGGACAACTCACATGTCTTACTTATCCCAACACATGAGAGCTCATACAGGAGAAAATCCCTACAAGTGTGACCAGTGTAGCTATTCTGCAGCCTCCAGGTCTGTCCTAACTCGACATATGAAAATTCACACGGAGGCACCAACTCTGCTGTAACCATGGCTATTTCTAACAGTGACACTGGTTTGCCTATATGTCGTGCAAACACAATTATATTATGTGAATAATATCAATATCAACTCTTTAAACTACTCTTTAAACGGCTGATGTGCTTCGTGCAGTTTACAACAGTAGGAAGTAATTTTGCGGCAGTAAAAATGTAGATGATGTATAGGTTGTACACGAGTAAAATTTCCTGTTTTGCATTTCTTTTTGAAGATGTATCTACAGAAATTTTCACTAACACCATTAAATCTTTATGCTTCCTTCTGTGTTACTTTTTGTCTTGGATGGAATATTGTCAGAGGTGGTGAGTTGATCATAAAACACAGAAATCAACATTCAGGCCAAAAGGTTTGGCTTGACATTCCTTCCCTCGTGCAGTACAGTGGGACAAGCTTCCATGCCTTCCTTTCTATATGGAACATCAACCCTACCTCTCTGGCCATGCTGGCTGGAACAAGGATTAACCATTACACACCTGCCATTATCAAGTTTTTATATATCCAAGCAGATGTATGAGGTCGGCTTGTTTCAAGCATAGTTTTGCAACATCTTAAGCATCTCCCCTGGTGCAGCTGTTTTGAATTTGCCATTTAATTGTGGCAAAGAGAATCCTATCATTGCCTGACCCATCCTACCAGTGCTCTTAATTTCTACACCTTCCCTTCTATCTAGTTTAACAGTTGTACATGTAGTACATTTTATTGTATAATTGGAATTCTCTTCTCGAGTCTTGCTCAAGTTACTAGCATTGATCACTACCCCCAAACAGCCCACCCATAGCTCACTAAACCCCCATGCACACCTTTTGGGGCCCAGAAAGGGTAGCCCTGTAAGGTCATAGCCGGCTATAGCCTAGCCTAGCCCACCTTTTCCGGATACCCATTCAACATATTTGTTGTCACCATTTTGTTACCGAAAAGGCTTGGCAGCAGTGGCGGCTTGTTGTGCCGCGGGAGCATCTAGATCCTACGTCTGCCCCGGCACGGCGGCCAGTGTCGCCGTGCCGGGCGGTTTTCTCGTCAGTGAACAAGGCACGGCACGTACATGTATATACCAACAGGTCTGAGTGGTCGCGTTCGATAGGGCGTTCCACGCGCCGAAGTAATGAAGGCACCGCCTTCTATAGTACACTTTTGCTTTTTTTTTTTAAGTGTAGAACGTTTATATTATGAGGAAACTAGAGTTCCCCGATCTCATACCTTCGCCAAATGATGTTCATCTTTATGGCTGACAAATTATAGATTATTCCCCCTGATTGTGTAAATAGGATCCTCATTTTCACGAATTATATCAGTTTATCATATTCTCAACCAAACGACAGTCTTATAGAAACAAACAATGCCATCCTAGCATGTCCTCATAAATTATGCAAATGAGGTCCTAATTTTAATACATTATGTTTAATGATGTTCATCTTCACTGAACTTTCAAAAACCATAAGTGTGAAATTCCAGGCAGTTATCATTACAGAATTGTAACATTTTCTCATTAATTATGCAAATTAAGTCTTCACTTACATAATAAATATCTGCCTGTGTTTATCTCATTCTCAATTCCCAATGTCACAAGCTTCATGGTCCTATGATGGAATGCAGCTGATTTATAGAATTTCCCCATAAATTATGCAAATTACATCTATATTTGCATAATTGTCACATAATTATATTAAGCATCACGTAAGCTACCTGCATACCAAAAATCACGACGATCCGTCAACCGGTTCTTGAGTTATCCTCCTTTTAGTAATATCAAACAGATAGCCCTGCAGTTCCGTAGCAAGCCGCTAGGGAGCCCAAACTCACGTCACTTTTTCCCCAGCACAAGAACTACCTACCATTCAAATTTAATTACCCCAGCATGTCTAGATCATGAGATATCAAAACCGGAAGTTCAGCTGCAGTACCATAACAAGTACCATAACAAGCCGCTAGGGGGTCCGAAATCTAATCATTTTGAGGTCTCATCAAGACCTACCCACCTACCAAGTATCAAGACAATCCATTTAAGCCTTCTCAAGTTATAGTGTCCCGTGAAGGAAGGAAGGAAGGACGGAAGGACACACACATACACGAACGCCTCTGAAAACATAACCTTCTTGGCGAAGGTAACTAAAGCGTAACGTGCCACATGAGGCAGATAACTTCACCTTTGACCATAATACAGTTCACCTCTGACCTCACGAGACCACAGAAAGACAAAGCAGCACCAGTTATTGTTTACGTGAAGAGAAAAACCACCACAGGAAGCAGGTAAGGATTAGACACGAACAGAAAACCATTCTGATGTTGAGAAGATTAGCTTGAGGTCATTTCTGTGGAAGAAGGATCGCAGTAGGACGAAAATATATAGAGGTTTTCGAGATGGTATTTTGTGGTTGAAGGGGGGGGGGGCTTGTCACTGAATGCCATCCAGTAGATTTCTAGCGGCGACCGATTTATGAATAATTTATCAAGGCCCATGGATCCGGTTCTTTCACTTGCAGAGAAGCCAATTTACACTGATCCGCCGGTGGCACGCGACGGGCGAAAACACATTTCAAACCCATTGTTCGTCGATATAAAGCGGTTATACCGTATACATTACAAAGAGAATTTTTGGAGGACTTCCATTACTTTAGTTTGCAGCATGTGTATTAAGAACGGGTATCTTCATAATTCTGCGCTGTTTGTAGAAGCTGTTTGTATTAAAATTTTATTTCATAACGCAATGGAGCAAACTAGCAGTAGAATTTTTTTAAGGATTTCACAGAGACGACAATGATAGATAATGTGACGCATAAACTTAACAGAAACATTATACATTATAATACAGCACAAAATGCAGAGTAACAATCTTTAACAGGTAAGTTGATAGTGCTCAACAATCAAGATGCATAGGATCATTTTCTATTACTTTTGTAGCTCACTTGCGTCCAAATTTGGGACAAACCCAGGGTACCGCAGCTTTTGCACATAGTGGTTTCGGCAGCCTTCGGCAGCCTTTCCGCTGACGCTGACATAGTTTGAGGTTCCACAGTTCTCCCAACGTGAGCGCTTGAATTGAACTTGCTGTGGTGTTGTTTGTTTGTTTGTTTTTATTAGATCTCCATTAGTGTTCAACTGACCACTATTCTTCCTGGAGTCCACATAAAATTCAAAATTATAACAACAGAAATATACAGAATTCAACTCAATATTAACATAAATTGAATAATTTAAAATAATCAACATAATTTAGTAACATAAACTGAGTTCGAATCAGAGTGATCATTGACATTATAAAAGTAACATAATTAAGTAACATAAGGTAACTTAAGTTCAAAATCAAATTAATAATCAGTTAATGTAGTCAACTATGAAGCAAATTAACAACAAAATCTCTTGATTAAACAAAATGATAATGCAACTCAAACCAGAGAGGGAGAGGTCGGAGGTCAGTATAAATTATAGTGGTAACTCAAAATACAGTAAACTGAGGTGGTAACTCAAAATACAGTAAACTGAGGTGGTAACTCAAAATACACTTGTGTGTTCTCCAGGCAGAACAATCCGCTTGTGAGCCTGTTACCCAGGGATACCTGAATACCAGGTATGCCCTGGTAAAAAAAAATAAACTTGAAACTTGTTTTATTTTTCCGACGCTTTGTATTTGTTTGTTGGTCGGGTTGTCTGGTGATGTCATTGTTGGTTTGTGATCTGTCAGGGTAGTAAGCTCCCGGTACAAAACGACAATTACGCGCTTGGCGTTTATGGCATTTACATGAAACAAGGTGCTAATAGCTGCTAGTCGGTGACCTGTCAGCAGCCCTTTGATTGGTCTCCACTAGAAACCTACTGGATGTCGTATAGTGTACACGGAGGGGCGGGGGCGAAACCAAACATACGTTTGACAAAGGAATTGGTTCGATCCTTGCCACGTACATGTACGTCATGCTGCATCAGGCAAAGTGGCCTTTTTTTGGAGGACGTGGAATAATATAGAAATATGGGAATGTTAACTGGATTCGCAAGAAACGTAAAGTACAAATTTGGAAACATGTAAAATTGATATGTGAAAACAGCAAATGGATAGTATGGTTACCAAATCTATAATGCGAGAGAAAAACCATCATAGGAAGCAGGTAAGACATAGACACCAACAGAAAAGTATCCAGATGTTAAGGTCAATATATTAAGGCTATTTCTGTGGAAGAAGACTTCGGACCGTAGTAGGAATTTCCGGGATAAAAATGTAGTGGAAATGAGGGAGGGGGCGAAACCAAACATACTTGGACCTCTGACCACATTAATGTACGACATACGTTAGGAAAACAGCTGTTTAGTATATTGTCGTGATGGTTTTAAAACAATTATAATTATATAAATATAAATGCAAATAAGTAAATACAAGTTCTGCAAATACCAATAAGGCGTTTAACTGAAAAACACCTTGTCTTTTCACCATTTGCTGAGTTGTAAATTAAGTCAAAGCCTGATCACTTTAGAATTAGAAATGCATGTATATTATTTTCTGCTAATCGTCTGGTATATAAGGCTTTACAATTATATATATCCTTATAATTTCTTCATTTTCTCATCAGGCTCAACAAAAACATGGCAAAAGCAGAACACAGGTCTCCAACCGGAGTTGGTCAGAACTCATGTGATGGGTCTCCCATTGGGGTTTCTCTGGTAAGCAAAACAAAAAATGCTAAAAACAAGGCGGCAGCACAACAAGTCAACTTGCATAACGCCGGTAAGAAACCCTACATGTGTGGGGAGTGTGGGTACAGGACAGCTCGAAAGTATCACTTATCCCAACATATGAGAACCCATACAGGAGAAAAAACCTACAAGTGTGACCAGTGCGATTATTCTGCAGCACGAAAAGGTACCTTGGACAATCATCTCACAAAACACACCGGTGAGAAACCCTACATGTGTGAGAAGTGTGGATACAGGGCAGCCAGAAAGGACTATTTGTCCCAACATATGAGAACCCATACTGGAGAAAAACCCTACAGGTGTGATCAGTGTGACTATTCTACAGCACGGAAACACAGTTTGGACGTTCATCTAGCAAAACACACTGGAGAGAAACCCTACATGTGTGAGGAGTGTGGGCACAGGACAGCTAGAAAGGACTATCTATCCCAACATATGAGAACCCATACCGGAGAAAAACCCTACAAATGTGACCAGTGTGATTTTTCTACTGCACAGAAATTTAACTTGGACAAACATTTAGCAACACACATCGGTAAGAAACCCTACATTTGTGGGGAGTGTGGCTTCAGGACAGCTTTCAAGTCTGACCTATACCGACATATGAGAATCCATACAGGTGAAAAACTCTACAAATGTGACCAGTGTGACTATTCTGCAACACACAAATCTTCTTTGGACAAACATCTAGCAAAACACACTGGTAAGAAACCCTACATTTGTGGGGAGTGTGGCTTCAGGACAGCTTTCAAGTCTGACCTATACCGACATATGAGAAACCA